AAGGGCAGTAACAGGCATTTACTGGCCTTCTCGCGCCGAGGCTGGGCGGACAGCCGCCATCCTGGCCTGGGGCGGGGATCAGGAGCTGGCGTCTCCCTTCATGGGGGCCGCTAATGCACGGTGGCCCGGGGAGCGAGGAGAGGAACCTGCCAAAGCCTCTCTCCTCCTCCTCCACACCGGCACTCGGGCCTGCCAACCGGGAGGGTGGGGGGACTGTCCCAAGGCCGGAGATCCAAAGGGGCCCAGACTTCCTGGCCAGCAGCAGCAACGGCCAGAGCCCCAGGCCTCTTCGAATTGCCGCTGGGGCGCTGCTCCGTACGGCTCTTGTGGGGGGTAGTAAGGGCTGATTGTTCTTGGCTCCACCCCTTCCATGGGCACAGAACCGGGCACCCCACACACACCTTGCCCCGGGGCCCATGGCAGCTGTCAGCCCCGCTGCCTGGAGTAGGGGGCCTGCTTTACATCCCCCCATCCCTTCCCCCCACTACCACTCCTCCCCGCGTAAGCAACCGGCAGGGGTAGTTAATACTCACCTTGACTTTCAACGCCATCACGATGTTGTTCCCTAGGCTGGTTGTCACGCTCGCACGGATATCCCTGCACGCAAAGTCACAGGGACTCAACAAACCCCCAGAACGGCCTCGCAAGAGAAAGGAGACACCCGAAATGAGACACCCTCGTTTGACGCAGACGGCACATTTTGAAATGGTGCCTAAATGGGCCACCCTTCAGCACAGCGAATGGGTTTGGGACGCCTCTCAGAGCCCAGATAAACCCAGCGGCTTGCTGAGTTTTATGAAGCCAAGCTTAGCCCATCTGGCTTGCATTGTGCAGCCAGTGAGCCTGAGCCTGGTTCTGCAGGGTTGATTATCGTGTTTATTGTGGTAGGATCTAGAGCAGGGGGGTTCAAACCCTGGGTCGCGGTTTTTCAGGACAAGCCGCTAGCTGGCCGTGAGCCGCTCTGTTCCCCTGCACCTCAGCAGATACAGCCGATCGCAGCTCCCATTGGCCGCAGATCGCCGTTCCTGGCCAACGGGAGCTGCAGGAAGCAACATCCTGGTCCACAGCCAGCTAGCGGCTTGCCCTTACAAGCGGCTGTAGTCAGAGGAGGGTCTGAAACGTATGCCTTTGTATCCCAGGCCAGAACGTAAGGCCTGAGACCTAGGAGCAATAATCAAGTCTTTGCTCAAATAAAGCCAAGTTAAGCCAGGAGCAGGCTGTGCTAATAAGATTTAGCATAAACAGGGTTAAGGGTATAAAACACTAAAAGGTGCCGGGTACAGGCAATACACATTGCAGAGGGGGCTTAAGAGAACACCTCGTTAAGAAACATCTCGGTATCAGCCTCCACCCCACAAATAACAGGCATACCAACCTCGGTTCAGGGCCGGGTCTACATGGACAGCATGATAGATAGTAACTGAACCCCCTTCTGTGAGGTAAGGGCTGGTAACTAAACAGGAGGTGGCAACCTGATACGTCAGGAGGGATGCGTAACTTGTTTGTACCTGTGTGTAAACGTGAGCCCCAAAGAGTTGCCTTTGTCTGGCCTCGGGGGCAGTGTCAAATTCCACTGACAGTCGGTCCATCGTCATGGGCGTACGTGCGTTAACCTAACCGCAGACCCTTGGGTCCGGGCGAGCTCAGACCATGCCTCGTCTACAGAACCTGGCCGGGCGCCTTTGGTCCTTAGCCAGTTTTGTCATCTTTGGGGGCTCTCTCGGAGGCTGTGTTGACTAATTGTGCATGGTCCACACAGCAAACAGGGAGCAAACACATGAAAAAGCCACAACCCAGAAAGCCCCTGTTCTACCGGAGACCACTGGGCCGGGCACTGCACAAGCGCAGACTACGAGACAGTCCCCACTCCAAAGAGCTCACATGCTAATCTCAATCTAAGACCCAGCCATATACCAGGCCCATGTGGGACTCTCCTCCTCGCAACAGAATTTCTCTCTTCGGCAGATACAGACGGAGGCAGACACACACGGTAGGAAATGGAACCCTATTCCGTGAGGAGTGAAAGGGGAGACAGAGCCCCCGCCCAGAACACCAGAATGTTAACCCCCGGCACTCACAGCAAGCTGATATTGATGTCCAGGAGAGCCACCGTACATCGACAGTCCCGGACGGCAACGCTGGTGCTAAGCGGCACATAGTTAGGCAGCAGAATGAGGGCAGTACAGTCCACGCGCACGTTGATAGTGGCCAGGCCCGACAAGAGGATAGACCAGCTGCCGAGACAAATTCACGCCATATGGACACTTGCCCGCAGCCCCGGGAGCTGTGCTGTGTGAATGGACGCTGGTTTCCAAAGGCAGGGTGAGTACAAAACCCGGGTTCCCAGTAAGCAGTGCACTTGGGCGGCCCCTCAGGAGACATTCCAAGGCTGCCCAGCTGATTAGCCAGCGCCCACAGCTAGGCTTGCCGTTTCTCCTGGTGGTGCACATTCGCACATGCCTGGGTGCACATAGAAAAATTTATCCCGCCCATAGATGGAAAAAATCCACACATGGATGGAAAAGAAAAACCCACCTCCTTCCACCCCTCCCCGCCAGTCAGATCCCCCCCAGCCACCCCTCCAGGGTCCTTCGGGTTGCAAGCGGTGCAGTGACAACCAAAGGCCAGATTCTGACGCAGTGGCTTGCACTGCGCATGGCCTCTCCTCCATGGATAGTCCCTCCCACCCCCGATTGCAGTGGAAACAGACCCCGTGAGTAAAGGGGGCAACATCTGGCCCAAAGGAGCAGTGAAAGGTGCCGGCGACGGGTGCGGATTGGCTTTGTAGCGAGGAAGGGCTGTAAACACTTCGATCCCCTTGAGAGTCTCCACACCTGGTTTGCCGATAGAGGCCAGGGGGGACGTTAGTCAGACGGGAGGCAGTTGCGTTGTCCATGCCACACTTGCAGGGGATCACAAGTGATCAGTGCAGAGGCAAACGGCCACGGCTGTTGAGCCAATCCGCCGAGATCAGCCTATTCCCCGGTGCTTTCGGGGTTCCCTGAGCCATTCCACGGGGCCTCCGCTCCCATCCTGGGGAGCCCACCCCCAAATCTTACAAAGCTCGTGTGGCGTAGTGGGGGGGCTGTCTGCTGTGTGATTCCCACTGACTCCCCCACATGTGTATTAGCCCAGACACCCAGGCTCAGCCTGAGCAGATAAGGCGCTTCCCAGGGGTAGAGACAAACGGAGGGAGGCGGAGACGAACACCTGGTTTGGGAGCAGGGTCAGAGAGCAAGGCAGTTTCTGGCTGGAAAACATGAAGGGAACAACCTAAGCTGAGGGTCTAGGCAGGGGGCGATGGACCCCCTAACCTCAGAGGTCTGAGGCGTCCTGGCCTTGACTCCTGTAGCCACATCACCTCTGTGCTGTATCCTGGAGAAGCAATAAACCCCCCCTAGTCTACTGGCTGGGGGAGTCTGTTCTTGCTGCAATGGGGGTGCAGAGTCGAGGGGAACCCCGACGCGCCGTCACAGCTCGTCTAGCCAGTCCAGAGGGTGCAGGAGGAAAGCCACCATAAGAAAATGCCGTCCAACAGCAATCCAAAGGGGGAGACACACAGAAATCTGGTCACTGTAGATCAGAGAGCGGCTGTACATTGACGCCTGTCTGAGAGATTCTGAAATGTACTTTTAATGTGTGTCAACTGACCAGGCCAAGTCCCCTGAATAGATCTGGAGCTGAAGCGGAGTGGGGAGGGGAGCGACTGCAGAAATCCAAAAAGCAGCAAAGGTTGTGGGGTTTTTAGACAGGAGCAGTTGAGAGCTGGATGTGCAACGTTAAATCCCCCCTTTGCAACGCCATTCGGCAGCATGGACATTTATCTTCGCCGTGCAGCCAGAGCGTGTCCTCCTCTCGCTGCTTGGAGGACCTCCAGAAAGTTGGATCCAGGCAGACACTAAGCGGGGGATGTCGGCGGCGACTCTCCTAAGTAAGAACTCGGCTCACTAGACGGCCCTGCTCTGACCTTCGCAGCAATCGCAGACTGCTGGCCCCAGAAGGAAAAAGCCAAACTTGTCTCAGTCCACGGTTTTCAAACTTTGCTCCCTGCCACCCTGTTGAAGGAAACTGTTGATGACCCAACATAATTCTCTCTTCACTAGTGCAGACTCCAGGGCGGGGCTGGGGAGGAAGGGTTTGGGGTGCAGGAGGAGTTCTGGGTTTCGGGGGTCTCCGGGCTGAGGCAGGGGATTGGGGTGTGGGTTTGCCACCACCGGCTCCCGGTCAGCGGTGGGGCTAAGGCAGCTTCCTGCCTCTCCTGGCACCGTGGACCATGCTGTGCCCCAGAAGTGGCCAGCAGCAAGTCCAGCTCCTAGGCTCTTGCTGCAGCTGCTGCCCCCCACCCGGCTCCCACTGGCTGGTTCCTTGCCAATGGGAGCGTGGAGCCAGTGCTTGGGGTGGGGGCAGAGCGTGGAGTCCTGCCCTTCTCCCCGCCTAGGAGCTGGCTGCTGCCGGCCACTTCTGGGGCGCAGCATGGTCTGTGATGCTGAGACAGGCAGGAAGCTGCCTTAGCGCCCCTCAGTCCCCCCACACCGGGGTGGGGAAATAGCGGCCCACAGGACAGATCCAGTCTGCCAGCGTTAGTCCCTGATGGGCCCCTGCAGCGCTGTAGTCACCTGCATCTCCGCAGGTACAGGGAGGGCTTCCAACGACAGCACCGTGAGACACCAAGTACCGAACGGACAACGCGCATGTCCTAGGCCCAGGCCCCGCATGGTAAGAGGCGATGGAAGAAACACGCGCGCCGGAAGCCAAAGCTTTGAAATACCCAGGACGGCCCCGCCCTTGGGAGCGGCACAAATCCTTTTCAAAACGTGATGCCAGACCAAAAGTGCACTGCAGCTTCCAACGACAGCACCGTGAGACACCAAGTACCGAACGGACAACGCGCATGTCCTAGGCCCAGGCCCCGCATGGTAAGAGGCGATGGAAGAAACACGCGCGCCGGAAGCCAAAGCTTTGAAATACCCAGGACGGCCCCGCCCTTGGGAGCGGCACAAATCCTTTTCAAAACGTGATGCCAGACCAAAAGTGCACTGCAGGCCCACCTGTGTTTCATCACGCCTGGCGTGCCAGGGAAGCTGGCCAAGTGGTGGGAGGCTGGAAAGAGCGTAGAGGAAGATGCAAGGTTATCTGATGATTGCAGTATCCCTCTGGCTGGCGGCCAGTTCTCAGCAGAGTCCTGGTACAAAGACAATATTTCCCGGGAGCCACTGATGCTGCCGTGTTCATGAGCAAGCTGACCAGCAGTACCGCGTGTCGTGAGATCTCCTTCCATCCTCCCGGGGCGTGTGAACGCACCCGACAGGCAGGGCACAGGGGCTGGCAGAAAGCTATTAGGTAGTAGAGAGGCTCGTATTCTCAAGGAATTGGATTTGCTCCTCGTCTGGTGTTCTGAGCTCGGTGGGCAACAGGGCCTGAGTCTCGCCAAGTTCCCTGAAGAAGCAACGTGATGTTTCCTGCCCCCTCCCCCGTCCACCCAGACGGCTTCCCTTGCCTGCTGGAAACGAACTACAGAAAGAGTCCTGCCCCACTCACCAATTGCCAAGGATTTTGACATTAGCGGAAATTCCCATCTTGATCCCAAGTCCAGGAACGTACTCGGATTTCACGGGAAGCACGGTAACTTTCGCCACATGCAACCTGCAAAATGAAATACAAGTCGGCAAGAAAGGAAACCAGGCCCGGACATCCATGGGGGATGGTTCAAGGCCCCTTTCATAACCCTTGTCTGCTGACCTGACCAAGAACACCCCGGAACACGATGGCTACGGCTAAACGATAAGGGCTCGTCTTTCTCCTCTTCCCTCTGCCTCCCCCAGCTCTAGGGCGGGGCCTCTGCACACTACCAGGGTACGGACACTCGGTGTTAGCAGCCCAGAAGCCTTTATTCCGTCTCCTGACTCACCCATTGATAGTAATCAGGGTAATTGTTAATCCTGGGAATCGGAGTTTCTCCATTTCCGACCTGAAGAAGCTGGAGACGTAATCTTCACACGCTGTAAAGAAAAATGTTGCATGAGACCTACTGTGCCGGACACGGAGCTCAAGTTGGAGCTAAGAGAAGGTCAGTTAAGTCCATTTCTCTAGTCTAATAAGCCCCTCTCGCACTCCAAATCCCTTAGCCCCAGACCAGAGCCTGCGCCCCAATGCACTGCCCCTGCCTGGTGAAAGGGAGGGAGAATGGGGGAGGGAGGATGGAGTGAGCAGGGGCGGGGCCTCGGAGAAGGGGCAGGAAGGGGGCGGGGCCAGGGTATTTATATTGGAGATCATTCTTGGATTGCACTCAAATTCAAAAAGTGATCTTGTGCTTAACAAGGCTGGAGACCCCTGTGCTAACGGGTCTGGCCAGCTGGGAGGCGTTTCACTGTTAAGTTAACAGATCCACAGGGGGAGGGGTCACCCGTCCACTAGCTGTACCAGCTGGCTGTGGGAGCCTTCGGGATCGGCCAGATGGGGATAGGGAGAGGGGAGGGGTTGAGCACTAAGACCAGGGCAGGGGATGGCTCTTGGCCTTCTCCGGACACTTGGAGACGTCTCCACCTCTCTGACCCACCTTCGCCGCTTGGGGGATCTGGCCAGGGGCTTACTCAGTCCCCATGGGGCACGAAGCCAGCAGGGGCTCAGAGCAGCCCCTCCCCTGGCTGTCGCTGTCCGTCGGACACAGCGGACGGGACCATCTCCACGGATGGACCGAGCCCAAGCTCAGCCCAGCTCTCAGGTTTCGTCGCCCGTGGAAATGGCGAAGCATTTCCTCGAGGCCTGGGCGCAGCCGCCAGCTGTTCAAAGGACGCGCAGCCCGGCCCTTGGCCTGCAGCTGCCCTCGCAGCACCGTTTGCAAAGCCAGCATCCCAGATCTGCCCTGGCAGCTGCGAACGCGCCTGCACCTCCAGAACCGGCCTCGCAGGCTGCTCGGGGACGTTTGGCGGCCGACCTGTTCTGGGGAAGTTGTCGGTTTGCAAGGACCATGGTCCTTCCAGGGCAGATCCCTCTGCTGCCTCTCAAATGGAAAGGACAAATCCTTTCTTCACTTCGGGGGCGGGTGTCTTGGGTGCAGCAGGCTGTCTGAATTTCCTACAGGAGGCAGGAGTTCAGAGGACCAGGCAGTGCCCCTGGAGGAATTCGCAAAGGCAAGAACAGAGTGCAGACGGCTCCAACGCGAGAAAGAAAAGGGCCCGTGGAGGCAGGTTTTAGCCCGTTCTCCCGCCAGGGAGAGACGGACCTGACCGGAGCCACTTACCCTTGTCATAGGACGGTTGCGGGATAGTCACGCGCCCCACGCCCGAAACTTGCAATGGCATCAGCAGGCCACAGAGAACAAGGCCCCAAACCTTCATCATCTTCAGTCCTGGTCCCTGCCGAGAGCATTCGGGTCAGAGCAACATTGCGAAGCAAAGGAGGAGCCGGCCCACAGAGGGGATGTGTCCAGGCTCTGTTACCCTATCGAAACCCCCGCGCCATGGACGGAGTGAACCCCCAGCGCAGGCACGCTGAGCCAGCACAGACGGCGCTTACGTCAAGCATGGGAGACCACAACCCACTGCCGCTTCTCTAACCACGCTGCCTTGTTGGCACGAGGCGCTAAGGGGCGCTTGAAAACACGCTCGACGTGGCAGACAAGGCAGGAGGAGGAAGGCGGCTACCGAGCTGCCTGGAGAACAGCTCAGGCCAAACAGGAATGCTGAGAAGGTCGCCATGTGAATTAAGGACCGGAGGAAAGAAATTGATGCTCATGGAGGCATTTTCACCACGCAGACTGGATAGCACGGGGTGAGTGCTGCGTAAGGTGGACAAACCGGGCCCGGAGCATCGACTGCAGAGAATCGCACTGAGACTTGGAGAAAGAACATGCGGCCGAGCCTCTTTGCCTGACGCATGAATTTACCGGTTTATTTTCCCGTTCCTGTTTGAGGCCTCCCGGTATCACCGAATTACATCTCGGTCACTGGACTTCCTCCCTCCTCCTTGCCCATTGCTCCATGCACAGCTCGGCGGGCTCTAAGCAACGTGGACAGAGAGAGGGACCGTCTCAGCGGCTTGAGGTAAAACTGAGCAGCCCACCCAAAACAGAAATTGAAAACCACCTGCCGTGTGTTCTTTGGCCCCCCGAATAGCATCGTCAGGGCTGAACGTTCCAGAGACAAACTGGAGGCACCGTGACCCCCCTTTCGAAGACCACGGAGCCCTTCTTACAGATCCATCCCAAAGAATTCGTTGGCCCACACCTGACATGCTCCTGCAGCCAGAAGATGTGGCCTTTCCTAAACAACTATGGGGTGTGGGTCTAGTAACTACTCCCTTGACATCTACCTGAGGCACAGTCCTCGTGACGTGCCGCACACAATGCGACCAACAACTCTCCTTTGTGCAAGAGGCTTGGTCCTGTGTTCTTGACTCCTGGTTGCCATGGCAGGAAGAGTCACCGTCTCTCTCATACGCACTACCCATAAACAAGCGACGAAGGGAACAAGCTAGAGAAAATACCTGGGGGCTAGTGGTCTCCTGTGACCGTAAAAATGCCACCACGTGCACAATACCTAACGGCAAGAGCTGGATGCTCAGCAGGGGGCCATGACAACTCCGTTAAAGGCAGGAGTCCTACAAACCCTACACTCACAGGCCTTCAGAATCCTTCTCCTCCCCATCCCTGCTGAGTTCTTGTCCACCTGCCCTTCGGATGGGCTCAGTGACATAGCTCCACCATGGACCATCCTCTTGGTGCTCTACTGGTGTTGCCAACCACCCACACTCAGCAACAGCGTGAACCGCACACATAATCGGTTACCAACAGCCGACAGATGGCAGGTGCAACTGCCCAAAGCCGCCGCCTCCCGTCAGAACCCAGCAGGCGCCCGGCACTGACTGGCACGCTCACTTAAATAGAAACCGCTGCTCGCCGAGTGCCCAATCAGTGCCCAAACCGACAAGAATCCCTTCATGCACAATCACACCAGGTCACGCTAACCTCCCCGGCCAGCATGTCCAGAACAAGCCGTCACCAGAGCCACGCCAACAGACAGAGGCGCCAGTCCCAAAGATGGGCGAGATGCACTGCCATTGTTCAGCTCTGGCCATTGTAGCTAGTCTGGCGGCAAAACAATTGCTTGTGCATCTGAAGTGAGTTTTGCGTGACATGATGGGGGAGGGGTATCCTCCAAGCCCTGGTCTACACTGGGGAGACGGCTGTCAATTTATCTGCGTTCACGCCTCCGATTAACGCAGGGCAGGATTAACGCGTTAAAAAAATGAACGCATTCAGCGCAGGCGTTAACGCGGCGCTGCCGCTTTGAAGTGCCGCTCTGGCGCTTCAAAGGGGCAGCGCATTAGGAGCCTGGGATCAGCTGGAGTCCCCAGCTGACTCCAGGCTCTGTGCAGCACTGCCCGCCAGAGCGGCAGTGCAATGCAGTGGCAGGGATCAGCTGGGGTGCCCAGATGGCTCCCGCGGTGCTGCCCCTTGTAAACGCCGCCGCTGCGTACCAAAGAGATAGCTGCACTGAGCCTGGGGTCAGCCGAGGATTGCAGCTGATCCCGGGCTTCTGCAGAGCTGCCCCTTTGAAATGCCTCCGCAGCGTTTCAAAGGGGCTGCGCATGCGATTAATCGCGATTACGGGGTTTTTTTTAATCACTTGCCAGCCCTACTAGGGAGTATTTTGAAATCACTCCCCTTACTTCAAAACAACAAGTGTCCACATGGCCAAGCCCGTTCTGAAATAATGGGCTGGTTATTTCGAAATAACTCCTGCTTTCCATAAGGAATCATGCACATTTTGGAATCGTTATTTTGAAATAGCGGTCGTGTGGATGCGCCGGTGCTGCTGTTTCAAAATAATTACTCAGAATCATTCAAACTAATGATGCCCCAGTGTTTCCTGGGGGCCCTAAGTCAAGGTTGCGTGTCCACATGAATGGAGCCTGTCTCGGACTCATTTCAAGGCTTCCCATCGTGTGGACACGCTATTTTAAAATTGTGATTTTGGGAGTTATTATTTCTAAATAATTTCCTCGCCTAAACATGCCCTAAGGAAGGCGTCAGTGCATACCTGGTACACCCCTGTGGCCTACGCTCAGTTTGCCTTAAAGGAAAAGACAAGACCAAACCCACAGTAGTTTAAAAACGGTGGTTTTCCAGCCACTGTCCCGAGCCCGTCCCCTGGGCCCAGAGCGTCAGACTGTGTCTCTGCACCTCACACCGTCGCTGGTGAGCAATGTTTTGCCGTTCCCAAGGCTGCTGGAGAGAACAACGATGCTCGAGCCAGAAGAAAACGCCAGAGGGAGCGTTTCCCTTTGCAATGTGGCTAACCGTCTCCCGCAGTCACACCCGCCCAGCCCACGCCTGCCTGTCAGCCACCGCCTCCCATTTCAGCTCCTGCTTGTGTCTCTGCTGGTCTCCCGCCTCCCACACTAGAATTATAGAATCCCAGGGCAGGCAGAGCCCTCAGGAGGTCAAGTCCAGCCCCCTGCCCAAGGCAGGACCAACCCAACTCAATCAACCCAGCCAGGGCTTGATCAAGCCGGGACTGAAAAACTTTTAGGGATGGAGATTCCACCCCCTCCCCCTCAGCGACTTCCATTCCCATGTAGCCTTGGCTCGTCTTCCACTGGGGCCTCTTCCTAGGTCCCCCCGCGCCGGCTCGGTCTCCAGGTCACCGGGTCTTCCAGCAGGAGACACGTGCTTTCCTCTCCACGGACATGGCAAAAACGCCTCCCAGGCTCCGCTCACTGCGTGGCTTCAGTACTGCACCTGCCTGGTCTTCGGTCTGACGAACGCTCCCCCCAGACCCATTCAGAGGGCTGCTGCCATGGGCGTTTCTCTGGGCCCATTGCTGCGGCATCATCACCCCTCTCTCTACCCCACTTCTCTCACCCCTCATAGGCTGCTTGTCCCCCAGCCCGTCCCCGTTCCACCTCCACAGAGACCTCGACTCCCACCTCCAACCGGCCCCGTGGCCCCCACCTCCACTGCCTTTTGTCCCATTTCCCAACACACCCTGGGGCTCTCTCACGTGCCCGAGCCCACCTGTTTAATCCCCAGGCCAGTCTCTGCTCCCACTGGAGCCCGGGGCCTTGCCCCGCTCTGTCTGGTACGCCAGGGGGTGGAGGCTCTCTCTGCTCTGCCGCCCAGTGCTCCCAGCTGGGGAGCCGGGTCGGAGCACGGAGGTGTGCAAGCCCCCGCATCCGCTCCCTGGCACGCCGACCCCACTCCCGCTAACAGCCGGGCGAGCCCCGCCCCCCTTTTTTACGGGGCTCCGGTGTTTACGAGACCCCGGGCCAAAGCACCTAGCCCCCCTCCTCTCCCACGGCTCCGAAAGGCGGCCTCATCGCCGCTACGCCCGGTCACTGCCCGCCCACCCGTCCCTTCCAGGCCGATGGCAACGTTCCCGTGTCTGCAGTCACAGCGGGGGGGGGAGGGGGCTGCTGAGGAGTTCCATGGGGGTGGAACCGGAGGACTTTCACACACCTGCCGTGCTCCGAGCCCTCCCCCCTCCCCGCACAGCACACAGGAGTCTGTGTCCCCGGGGAGCCCCCTGCCAGGAGCCGCCCAGGCACAGACACATCCGCCCATTGTTCACCATGCAGGCGCCCAGGATCCTAAGGAACAGGGTAGCTGTGATGTTATCAGCAGCCATTGTCCGAGTTCAGTTCCGGGCCGCCTTTCAACGTTCAAACAATGCCGTCGTCTCCCAACAGTCCCAGCGGAGAGAGCACACGAAAAATCTAAACCCATCTCCTGCGGATCCAGCGCCCACGGGAGTCACCCGTTCCTGCTGCTGTGAATGAACAGCCCCCCCGAGGGAGCACGAGGGCTACAGGACGGAAACGAGAGAGAAAAAGGAAAAGAGGAAAAAAAGAGAAAAGAGTGAAGAAAATAAAGAAAGATTCTTTGGGGCAGGGATCAGCCCCAGCCCCCTCCCCAGTCTGAACCCCATGCCCAGCATTTTGCACCCCCCTTCTCAGCAGCACTGTCAGCTGAAAGTGCGGCCAAGCACAAGTGCTGGGGAGAGCTCTCAGCCCTGGTTTGCTCTAGGGCTTTATTGCGAAATAGCCCCCCTTAGGTCGAATTTATAAGCGGAGCGTCCACCCAACCACGCCTGTTATTTCAAAATAACGGGCTGCGTAATTCGAGATCTGCACCCCTGCTTTCCTCGGGGAATAGTGCTAATTCCGAATTCGTTATTTCGAAATGGCAGTCATGCGGATGCACTGGTGCCGCTATTTCGAAAAAATGACTCCCCGGAGAAATGTGAACTAACTACTCCCCCGTGCTCCCTGGAGCTCTGAGTCCTCATGACCGGAGCTGGCCTCGGACTCATTTCGAGTCTCCCCCGTAGCGTGGGCCCGCTAGTTTGATTTTGTGAACTCGGGCGCTATTAAGTCAAATCGAATACTTTCAAAATCGTTTCCTTGTGTGGACGTGGCCCCGGCGCGCGATGGAAGCCACTAGCTGGCTCAGGGTAGGGCCTGGCCAAGCTTGGCAGAGAGGCCGAGTCTCCATTTGCTTTGATACACAGAGCTAGCCAGGCCGGGTTTATTTTATACGCCCCAGCCAAGCTTGGGAAGACAAAGGCTGGTGGGAGCGCAGTACCGGCCAAGCCTTCTTCTGAGGTGACTGCAGCCAGAGGTTCAGCCTCCCTCTGCCCCTCCCTCGCCCCGACTGTAGTGCAGCTTACCCTGGGTTCCAGCCACTGCAACACACGGCAGCTGACCCAGGCCAGGTCTACACTCCAGGGAAAGGTCTAAGTAAGATAAGCAACTCCAGCTACGTGAACTACATAGCAAGAGTCGACACGCCTCGATTCAGGTTTCCCTGCCGTCTCCACCGTGGCAGAACAACGGGAGCAAACGCTCTCATTGACCTCTCCTACTCCTCACGTCCTCATGATGGGGGCGCCCTCTGAGTTCGATTTAGTGGGTGTTGTCTAGACCTACCAAATCAAACTCCGGAAGATCAATCGTGGCAATGTCGATCTTCCACATCGGGAAGACATGGCCCCAGTCTCCATTCAGGAGTCCAGCTTTGGGCAACCCTCAGAGCCAGAAATCCCCTCCATAGCACGCAAGAGCTCAGAGCATGGCCTCACCAGATGTGCACATAAACAGGCCACTGTGCACTCCCGTGGGCACGTCAGGCCACACTTGTTCACCCACCTCGTCTCCTTGAACCAGCACAGTGACCAGTGGTGCCAAAATTGCTTCCGTCACCCCATCCACATTATAGATTTCAGCGAGTTTCTGGAAGCAGTTCCTAACACAGGCCATAAATACTAATGGATCATTTTTATGGGAAAATGAACCACTTAGGGCTTGTTTCTGCTGCCCCCCTCCCATTCGGGTGGCGTACCTGTCGACGCTTTGCATCTGCTAGCGTCAGCCCTGAGCGCATGCCCAAACACAGGAGCCAAACGTACCTGCTCCAGGTGACACGCCCCGTGGGCGGCGAGCCCTGCTGTTAGCAGCCATTGTCAAAGCGCTATGGAGTCCCAGAGCTCAAAGCCATGTCCATAAACAACCCAACTCTCCTCGGGAGAGCGATAACTGAGCGACTGACATGCCTAGAAGGCCCGGGCACCGTTCGCTTAGCTCTGCGCGTCTGCCTTTCTACCCTGCAGGCCTTCGCCTTCCAGAAGAGTTTGTTAAAACGTATTTGTAGAAGGGGGGTTGGTTTACACCTCTTCATTGGCAGCTTCCTTCCATCACATCAGGCCACAACAAAAAGCCGAAGAACGAAATACTCCCGCCCCTGCTATCTCATCCCGCCCTAGGGTGGCCATCCAGGGACCCTACGAATACAGGGCAGTTGCATTTAGTGCATAAGGGTAGGGGGAACATGGGGCAGGGGGAACGTGGGGGGCAGAGGAGTCAGGGCTGGGGGTGGAGGGGTGAGGGCAAGGGCACCATTTCAGGAGGGGGAGGTCTCAGGGAGAGAGGGAAAAGGTCACA